TTCTTGGACTAACATGACACTGGGCGGAGCACTATGCGTCGAGTTCCTCCTGTGTCCAGCTGTCCACGTATCCAGCATATGTTGCAATCCATCGATAATTCTGAAAAAACCCTCAGTACGTCAAAGCAGCTTTTTTCTTTAACCTTACAATTACAGAAGTTCAAAATGAAATTGGACATGTTTAATTTTGTATTATATATACTGCCTCGTTCGAGCGGACGCTGGGTCCTTTCAGGAGGTGGATATGGCGCGACGACATTCTGTTTTCCACCAGTTGTTGAAGCGGGTAAGTGACAACTGGGTGAGAACGTTCAGTCGCCGCGCCAAACCGAGCTCCTCTGACACGCCCTGGCATGGGCAGCGAACAGAACTATAACAAATGTTAGGGTGAACCCTGTTGTCGAGAGGAGAATCTTTTCTCCAAGCGAAGAAAAACCTGCACATGTTCTCTGCGCTTATACCTCATGCTGATTCCACTATTAGGCCACGTTTATAACTGCGACCGACCGCGCTCCATCGCTAGCCATTGGACCCTGCAACTCCTAATCCAGCAACATCCAGAATAGAGCTCCCTTCATTTCAGTTCAAGCAGCAGTCGGACAATTATAGGTAGAGCACTACCCAAATCGCTCAACTGAATCGCTCGGGAAGTACGAGGGCGGCCTTATGCAGTTCTTTCTTGCCTCAAACTTCATTAAAAAAGTCTTACTGCTCAGCGTCTTCACTATGATCGGATTCTTGGCCGCTGTCTTCCGCATCGTCCTCCTCCGAGTCTTTTTCAGGCATACAACATCCTGTTGGAAGCTTTTCAAAATCCACCGCATCTGTGACGACACTCTCCAAGTCACTTCGACCATCTGATTCACAGACCTTCAACAAATTCCTTTAAAAACTATCTCTTTTCAAACAGTTCCAGGCGCTAACGTAGTCGGGGGGGGGGGGTAGGGGAGCACTTGGCCAAACTCCTCTATCCCTTCCCCAGAAGGCTTAGTCTAACAAGGCTCGCCAAAAGACAGCCTCGCACAGAAGACATAGCTTGCACTGAACCTATGCCTCGAGTAGCCTGTGGCGAGCGGTCCTCCCCTCCCAACTACGAGCGCCCATTTCACTTGAAATACCTGTCCATCCTTTATTCTCAATCCAGACAACTTTGAGTTGGCGAAAGTGGCAATAAACGGACCAAGCTCTTGGAATGCCGTGTACCACAGCTGGAAGTATAAGCAGAACTAAACTATGAAATACATTTAAGAGCATAGTAATGGTTAGAGACCCACCCAACGCGACGGGTCATGAAGCAGTTTCACAAAAGTCTGAGCCAGTTGTGTTCGTCGAATATTTGGTGAGGTATGACGGGCTACTTCAACGAATACTTCGCATACCGCCTTTCGAACGCCCCAGTTCGCATCCATCACGCCATTCGTATCCCATAACACAGGTACGACAAGTGTGAATCGATGACAAACCTGAAATCAACAGTTTTTTTAATTCTATGTGAAGGAGCAGGGAGTACCTGACATCTAACGGTCACTTCTGCATTTCAACCACTCCAGAATGAGAATGCAGAATGAAAGAGGCAATCCGACAGGGGTCAGAACAGGAAATTCTTTGAAATACTGCTACTAGTCAGATTCCAGATTCTCCATATTTACCCATATTTTCCCATGTGTTTATTTTTGTTGATCATTCCGCTAAGCGGCTTTTTTCCCCAAATTTTGCGCGACCTGTATATTGCACACAACAGACATTGTTGCATACTCCGCCCCAGATGACTCCACCCCTTTTTGCTGCGACACAATACACACTCACATTACAGACATTATATTCTCCGTATTCTTTGAAAACCTACCACTCTTGTGTTGTGGACAGCGCTCATAATCGGTGATCACGGACTTGGCACTCAGCGGCAGGGCACGTCACACGCTGGGGCTCCCAGGCGAGGGGAATCGTAGTAGCTGCCAAAGGCGGAGGTTCGCACCTGCTTATGCAATAAATGTTTTCGGTTGTTATTCTACTTGATCTATTCTACTATCTATCTATCTATTCTACTTGTTATTCTACTGGTTGACTTTCTTGGTAATTCTACTCTCAAGGGCGCTGTATCCCCTCTTTCACCCCAAAGTAGTTTCTTTGGAAAAAACTCAACGATTTCTCCTCGCGTTGAGCATTTCTCGATGGGATGGTAGGGGCATCCTGATCTTGTTTTGCCGTGGAAGGCTGGCGATTTTTGAAAGAAAAAAATCTACTCATCATTATGGTGTACCCTGCTTGCGAATGGAATGCTCTCATTGCATGTGCAATGAAATGCACTTTCGTTTATGAAAAAAATGTTGCTCGGTGCGCATAAATTTATCGTGGAAGGTTTTGCTTGCGTTGT